CTCAAACGCTGTGATGACTTAATGCTATTTTGCAAACGGACAAAAAAAACAAGCAAAAACAAAAAACCACATAAATTCACACAAAACGATTAGTTTCGGTTTTTAAAAATCCGGCTTTCAGTTTGACCAAAAACGGTTGCGGTTGCCACAGTGCCTACATAAACAAACAAACGCGCTCAAGCACACAAACAAATACTTACCACACAGATGCTGCTAACAATTGAATGTTCTTTTTTTACTACGCATCTCGGGAATTCGTCACCGCCAAAGTTTGGCAGAGCAAAATGTGAAATGGCGTGTGGCAAATTCGATTATATTATTACAGCTTTTTACTTGAATGGATAAAACACTAAAAGCAATAATGGTAGACTAAATAAAAATTTGCAGGATATTTGGGCTTTGTTCAACAAAAAAAAAAAANTGAGCGGCGCTGGCGCTGGCGCTGTCCATTTGATTGGCACAGCCGAATAGCAGTGAGTGGTGGTGCTGGGACAGTGTTGCGTTTTAAAATGACCACAAATCCGCGCCGAATGCAAGCGCTGCTTAATTCAATATATATGAATATGTATGTATGTACGTTAGGGTGTTCCAAAATGCATGTGGAAAAAGAAAACTCGGAAGTTTTAAGCTTTCACCCCTAGGATTGTTCTAGTTTCTGTTTAAAAGCTATTTAAGTCCTTTTTCGTTTGGTACCTAATTTGTTTAAATTGGATTAGGGGTTTGTTTATTATTCGGAAAGGATTTTTTCGGACTTAAAAAATATCTGGCCACCCTAATGTACATACATACTCGTATACATACATACATATATAGCATAATATAGTACTTGTATATACATTTTTTTTGTGAGGAGAGGACTGAGAAATTAACCAAAAAATATGCCCTTAAAAAACTATTCAGACCAATGCAATGTGGTAAATATTCTGGTTAATTTTATATGCGCATAATAAAAACATATTCATACACAAATAAGTAGGGGTGTGAGATGGTTGACGAAAGGGTTGTGCTCTCACCTTCGATTTAGCTGTATTGCACTAGCCATGTTTTCAGCTTTTTTCCCTATTATATTTTATTATGCTACAAACGTTTTGTAAACTTTAGTACAAATTTATGTATATGTA